ATCTTCAATTCGCCAGCTGTTTTTAAGGGGAAAAATCATCTACAAAGGATCTGTTTTTCTCGCCTGGCGTAATTTTTGCCAAATGGACGAAGTATACAAATAACGTAAGTAATAAGAGTTGGCTTGAGATTTTTTTAAAAAGAAAACAGAAAACTTAATTTTGTTCGTAGTTTCTCAGCCAGCTTCGCAACTTGAAAAAAATTAGTGAGATTACAATTAAATATTCACTTAATAATAGAAAACAAACTTTTACAGAAATTTCTGAAAGAATTAAGGTAACAAAAGAAGTAATTTTTTTCTTTGAAGTCGTTCATCCTCGCTTGCTATTATTCACTCACTCAACCAAGTTACATTGTCTTTTTTTATTCTCAATGAACACAAAGAAAATGTTACTTGGCGCCACATGACCCACGTAGATGTTTGTGTACCAAAATATTTGCATCAGTCTAGAAATTATGTTTGAATTAGTTTAATGATTTCTATAGGGGAAAAATCTAAAAATATTTTTATTTTTTTTTTTTGTAGTTCAATTTTTATTTCTAAATATTCGTGTAGGGAAGAAAAAGATAAAAAAAACACTTTGAAAATTAAAGAATTTAAAAAATCAGTAATTAAAAGAAATAATGTTTATTTTTTTTTTTTACATAAAAATACGTTATTTTACAACACTTCATATTTTTTTTTTACGTTTTACGAGAAAAATTTGACAGCACATTTTTATTTTTATTTTATTTTTTTGAGGTTAGAAAAAAATTAAATTTAAAAAATTTATTTTTTCTTGAGTCTATTTTTTCTTCTTTAAATAAACTTCTTTTTGACATCGATATGGTTTTTTTAAAAAAAGGGAAGCTAAAAATTTATAAGATAAGTTTATTTATTTTTAATCAAATTAAAAAAAAATGAATCGTAACATTTTTTAAAAATTAAAATTATTTCTTAAAAATATTTTAACAAAAGTAAAGTAAAATATGTTTGTTTACATATTTTTAGTAGATTTATTAAATGGAATAAAATGCTTATTATTTTATTACTACAATTTAAAATAATATTTTTTAGTCATTTTAACATTGTTTACCTATGGAACAAGTTTCTGAGAAAGAAATCGTAAACAATATGAGTAAAAAATAAATATAATAACTTGTGAAATTAATCAATTTTTATTTTTTTTTATTTCTTTACTTTTCATCCCAAGCAAGGCACTAAAGCCACTAAGATGCAAGTAAGTGAACGAAGGTGAGAAAGAGAAAACATAAGTGAAATTATGAAGACAGAAGATAATGATTGACTCTGCATTTAAATTTTTGAAGACCAAAGTTGACTTGAAAGCAGGAAGCCAAATGAGTATCACAAGCAAAAAGTGCGAAAGAAGAAATTGTTAGCATAGAACCTATGGTTCCATCTAGCCATTTAAAGTCTAAATCCGTGACACCAATCAAGTAGTACATTTAAATTCATAAATTCTTAGGTACCAAAGAGGAAAACTCATCAGAACAATTACCATGAAAATATTTATAGAAAAGACACAGGGAAAGTGACTGAGGCTGAGAACAATAACGTTGCAGATTCTTCTTTGTATTTCATCAAGAATCTCTAAATATATACCAGAAGCATCAGACCTGATATGAGAGTAATATTCAATTCATGGGCTATTGGTAGATTTATAAATGTGTAAGATAGATTCTGATGAGAAAAATTGTCTAGCACAACACACTGAACCAACTTTCTATCTATCTTGCACATTTATAAGTATACCATTCATTCATGCATTGAATATTGCTGCCATGTCTTGTTTGGTGATATGGCTATGTATTTAGAGATTCTTGATAAAATCCAAAGAATCTGTAATGTTATCGGTTGTGACCTGGCATCTCGGCTTCACTCACTCTCTCACTGCAGTAACAGGCTGACTCCATGAACAAATTAAAAACATTCCAGGCTGGATCCGGACCCACAATCCTGAAATTTTGGATTCCCAAGTTTTCACTAGTGCAATCTCTCTATCTATCTATCTATCTATATATTACGTGATTTTTTTGCAACAAATGTTTTTTGTATGATAACAATTTTTGTAACTTGGAAATAAATTTGGGAATAATTGAAATTAATTGTGAAATCCAGCAAATGTCACCCATAAGATAAAAATAATTATATGGAAAGTAAGGACCTATGTCAGAAGACTTATCATTGATCTTTTAAAAGGTAAGCTTAAATATTAACACAATACTTAAATGCAGCGATCAATTTTGAGTTCTTCTGTAGTTTATTGTTGCCTATCGCATACAGCAGCAGTATATCTCGCAAAAAGCAGAGGACTAGATTGCAATCAAAAGAGCCAAGGCTGAAGCGATGACAAAGAAAGTCCCATGCAAATGAAAATCCAGATCAAATGGAAGCCAGGAGAGCTTCCAATGCAAAGTCTTACGGACTCTTTGACACCTGAACAAGCCAAAGGCCAAATTAAGAGCCCTCTGCAGGTGTTAGCTTAATTGTCACCCAATAGGGCAGTTTTTAAGCTAAATAGGTCAATGTTTGGTCCCTCCTCCCCCAATACTAAGTATAATTGAGAGAAATATTAAATAAACCCTCTCTAAACTTGACCATGTCTCTCAAACCGCCCCTCATTACCCCCTCTGTTAAATTACAAAAACTTACACTACCCATCAAAAGTATGAATTTTCATTTCATTTCATCTTTTGGAAGTGCTATCTGATGATCCAGAGTTCTTTAAAAGGGCTCTGGTGAAATAAATTATTATAATGGAATCTTAAAGTGGTCTGTTTTTCTTTAAAAAATATATATATATATATATATATATATATATATATATATAAAATTTTGCAGAGTTAACCTGTAGAAAAAGACAATATTTATAAATGTAAAAGATGATAGGAAAACTGTAATATTAGCCGATGCGTTTCGTCCAATGTGGACTTTTCCAAGGCAAAAATGAAATGAATTTATTAAAACTAAGTAACTATTAATAACAAAAAGAATGTCCTTAGCAACTGGAAGAATTTAGAAAACATTATTCATATTGTCAACTGAAAATTATGTCAATATGTTAACAATATGAATATGATAGCATTTTCTAAATGCTAAATATATATATATATATATATATATATATATATGGGAAGAAAATGTAGGACATAGTGGAAAAAAATTCCCAACACACCTTGTTTGTGCACCAATGTAATGAAGTCCTAAAGGATGAAATGCTTCACACAAAAACTGTTTTCCACTTTGCCATACATTTTTCTCTCAATATTGTTCTTAGTATATAATAATTTATATATTGTTATCTCATCCATCTATATATATATATATATATAAACACGCACACTTAACCATTTTGATTTACAAATTTAAATTAATGATTCTAGGTTGGATCCATTTACCTCTTGTTTCTTTGTGTCAGTCACAGATATCTTGAAGAATTTGATAGTGCTTAATAAAATTTGGCATTCATGTAGCATTTTATCTGTTATTGCTCTCTCTCTCTCTCTCTATTTTTTTTCTATTTAAGGATAATCTTCATCATTTTTATTTTATTTTTTTTAATTTCACCCCCCAAGCAAGGCAATAACACCAGTCAGATGCAAGGGGTTACTGGGAGTGAAAGAGAATGAGACAGTTTTAGAAGGAACTGGAAACCCCTATCCTAAGCAGGAATCAAGGGATAAACCTCTCCTCCTGTTCAAAAGACTGGGAAGGATGTGAACCAGGTGATAGGTGAACCTACCTACTCCTATTAATAAGTAAACATTGATGATAGGATTCAAACCTAAGTGGGTAGATGGTAATGAATTTGTAGTCCAATGCCTTAACCGCATGGCCGCAGCATATTACTTGAAAATTTGTACCATGTTAAATCTTTTGCTAGCCTAGTTTTGCACAATGACCCAATGTCTAGATCATAAATAGAACTAGTTTTGACAAGACAAAATTCCGTTTTATTTTTTTAGGTTTTAGCTGAAATAAATATTCCTCTCCTAATCCTAATAAAAAAAAATAAAAATAAAAATGTTATCTTTATTTTACTTTGAGCAAAATAAGAGCATACCTATAAGAGATTGGGTTTGTATTACTTTATAAATAATTTTTATTGTAGAGTAATTTTATTTAATGCATTTTATGTTGTATCAATGAATTCAGATTAAAAATAAATAAAGATCATTGTTCCTAAAAGTAGTCATCAATATTCAGGTGGTTATAAAAGTAAGTGTTTATTAAATATTACTATAAATAAAAATCATGCTGCTAACTAAATTCTAAACTTTTTATAAGATATATATTGACCAACCTTTTTGTTCCTTTATTTTTGGCCTTCTCAAGAATGGTCACTTTTTATTAAATTTTACTGATAATTTCTATTGGAATTGATAATCTTTTGATTAATATTTGTCTATATATATGAATGCATAAGTATAAGCTTGTGATTTTTAAAGAGTTACAAACTAGACTAAATTAAACATTAAAATGATACACTAAATGTACTAATTATTTTATTTCCTTTTTCATCTTTCAGTCCACTTTTTTTATCATTATTATAGGTTTGCAAGATGACTTGCTATCATTTGGGACTAACAGTTTTCATGATCTTTATTGATTCTGATAGATTATTTATTAATTTTTAATTTTACCTTTTTCTTTTCAGGTTAGAAGATGTTCCTATGAAAAATGGATAGCAAATAATGTAGAACAGGTAATGCATCCCTCAGTTGAAGTAAAAAAATTATTTTTTATCATTTATAGGTTTGCAAGATGACTTGCCTTATCATTTGGGACTGAACAGTTTTAGACTGTTCTAATTGATCTTTATTGATTCTGATAGTTATCATTATTTATTAAGTTTTTAACCAGGAATTTCACCTTCTTTTTTCTGGATTTTCAGGCCTTTATCCAATAATGTGTCCTTGATGATGTTTTAAAGATGTTTTCATCATTTTTACCAGTGCTCAAATTGGAATTCATCCATCAAAAATAATGTAGAAGAGGTAATGTTATGTCCCTCAGTTGAAGTAAAGAGGCTTTTAAGTTCTTCATTTGAATTTGGGGTATCCAGTTTATGTGACATAAACTTTGTTAATCAATCAATTTTATAACAATTTATATGTGATGTTGCTGAACTTTCACATTGATTCTATTTTGTTAATTCTCTACAAAAAACTTGCTCCTTTTAAATCTGGTTTGTAACATTTCAATCTGCTATATCCTGTTCATTCTTTTAAATTTCTGAAGCTGGTGTTGTGGCCTGCATTAAGAGACACTTTTTCTATAAAAGTTTGTTATAAAAGTATCATCATTCTCTGAATTATTCAAACTGGCATTCAAAACTTTTGGTCATATTAAGTTTGAGCAGGCTAGTTTAAATAATTAAAGAAATAAAGAGTGTTGGTCAAAAATGAGAATATGAAATAAGACTGACTATTTTAAAAGCTTTTAATTGTACTAAAACAACCTTGACAAAATGCAAGTCACTTGCATTTTGTCAAGGTTGTTGGAGCAAGGTTCAACAATTCCCCTCTCCCACACACCATCCATCAGTTAGCATAATTTGGGGTTTGTTGATCTTTTTAAAATGGAAATTATTTTGAAATTATCTATAGATGTACATTTATTGTGTCTACAATGTCAGGCTTTTTACAAGATGAACATGGCAAAAATAAGAAATTGAATTTGATACGAAGTAGAGAAAAAGTATTTTTTTTTTTTTTTTTTCAGATTTAATATGAACTCTAAACGCTGAACTTTAATGTTTGATATATCAGGATATATTTTAAATCTGTTGAACCATGCTGCATTTGATAATTCTGAATATATTGGATCTGACAGCAACAAATATAATAATAGTTCATTTCAAAAGTTCATTGGTCATTTACTTTTTATTTTCTTTTGCATAAAAAAAATTACTCTATGCTGAATTTGTGACACTTTGATTGAAACATCCACACAAAAGGGGATAATGTGTGATTTTTATCTTGGTCTTAAGTGTTTTGTGTTTTATGGCCAGCAATAAAGTATGTGAAATGGGATCTTCAAAAAGCAGCCACCCACTTGACCAAAAGAGAATGAGACAATAGATGAATAAAAACTGTTGGGGACAAGTGATAACAAACTGGACATTAAAGATTTCCGATTGCAGAATTATATTTAGGCACAATTGGGATTGAAGTAGTGTTGAGCTGCCCTTTACTGGGTATATGCTGCAAATCATGATTTTGAAGTGGGCTTGAGAGTTGGTAGGTGAATGTCAGAATTCTTGCTGGTTGCGGTGAAAAGCTAATCTGTTAGTCTTGGACATCAGAAGTGACAGATATTTTCCCCAAGTGTCACCTACCTATCTACCCAGTCCATGCAAGAGAATCCCTGAAATAAATAAAGGAATGTATTGAAAACCTAGTTTGGATCTTCTTATTGCAGTATTTATTTTCACCTTTGAATTCTTTGTCAGTATGTAGCGGGCTTTTCTCAGTTTTTAGTGCATATTGATGCAAAGAAGAATAGACACAATATGGAGTAGCAATTTGTCCTGTCTGAAAACCTAAGAGAACGGATCTGTTGTATATTTACAAGTTGTCCTTTAGTCTCTACATAACATAGATATATAAATTGTTTCCTTTCAGGCTGTGAGCCAATTCTACAGCAATTCTGACCATAAACATCATGTTCATACATGGCTTACCAAAGCACGGGTTGCCAAAGAAGCATGGGCATTTGTGTGGGAGTTGCTTGAACCTCAGAAGGTAAGTTTGATTTAAATATGAATTTTATTTTGAAAGTAATTTACTTTTGTTTTAACATAGCTTATAGAATTAGCACCAAAAGATTGATCATTATAAAACAAGATTCAGTTTGTATATTATACATTATTATGAGATGTTAAAATTCTAAATGATAAACTTAGATTTTGTCAACTCATGTCATTACATATTTTTAATTTTGTGTTGTTGGATTTTCATTGGTCAATCATGTTTCATGTGCATTTGACTCTTAAACCAACACTAGTATAATTTGTAGTATTCCAAATTCAAGGAGAGATGACACATACATCTGAAATTGCAAGAAACTAACAGATTCTCTTGTTTGCATTATCTTTCCTTGAATTCAGAATGCTGTAAATTATATTAAAGTTGGTTTAAAAGAGTCAAATGCAAGTAAAACATAATTGACCAATGAAAATCACACACATCAAAAGTAAAAATACCAGAATGTCTTCTTTTTCTCCATATCTCATTCTCTGATGAAGCTTTAATAAAAGTGAAACGTTAGATTGATAAACGTTTCCTATTTGTTCTTTATCTTATCATTCTGTCAAACTCTGATCCATATCTGATTTATATTTGATTTCAACTCATATACTGACATATAAAATAATAATAATAAAAACATTTTAATTGGTTGTAAATTTAAATTTTTAAAAAAACTTTAACATGATAAGAATTTGAAATTTGAAATTTAGGATTAGTGCTTGTTCCAAAGAATATAAATATAGGATCTGAAAATAATTTCAATTAGAAAGATCCATGGAAATTTCACAGTTCTTCTATTTTAATATTCTGATGAATCTTTATTCTTAAGTTAATGATTGAATAAGCTAATGCTGAGTTCTACAAAGACATAATTCCCCTATTGCATTGTTAATTATTTGAGATTAACAACGTTAACAAAATATTGAAATAACAGCCTTAATTATGAACGCTGATCGTTATTTTAAGAAGTGGGTACAAATGAAAAGATTTGGGATTGACAACTTTTTCCATTTCACTGAAACAGCTGTTAAGCAGTTCTGCCTTTCCTTCCTTCCTTCTTTCTTTCATTCATTTTCATACTGAACACAAGTAGTGTCTCTGATATTTGTTTGGTTTATCAAAATGGAATAGTCCATAATTTATGAGGTATTGGCAGGAGATGTTAGACATTTCTATCTTCCTTTTCATTTTTTTCTTTCTTTTGTTTCTTTCTTTTTTCTTTCATTTCTTTCATTTTTTCTTTCATTTCTTTCATTTTTTTTCTTTCTTTCATTTTCTCACTGAAACCAAGTAATGTCTTTTCCCCTCTTTCCATGTGATCAAAACACAATAGTTCATTATTTATGAAGTATTGACAGGAGGTAACGGTTGTGCTAACAACAGTGGGCACAAGCACAATTATAATAGGATAGTTTTATTGAACATCTTTCCCTGACTAGCGATTTCAAATGAAATGCTGGAGTCATTCAATGAGATAAGTTCATTGAACATCTATTGAGATATATATTTATTTATTTATTTATAAATTATAATATCGTGGATACTTTGTCTAATTATTTTTTCAATTTTTATTAATTTCAGAGTGAACAGGTTCAGTTTTTTGCAGCAAGCTGCTTGTATCAGAAAATAACAAGCCATTCGTAAGTGAATTTTGTCTTTCTCCATTTCAATCTTATCATTGCAAATTTTTACGAATTCACTTAGAAAACAAATCAGATTAACACACCTGCTTGTCATTATTTGCAAAATATTTTAAAATTTTGCATTTTGATTTATATCAAGGTAAAAGCAATATACTAATAGATATGACCTTAGAGAAAATATTTTAAATTGATTGGCATTCTGAAGATACCATTTTAAAAATCTCTAACAATTGATCTATTTTATTGTCAAACATTGTAGGTTTTGAACAGCATTAATTTTTAAAAAATCTGTTATCTACAAAGAGCACCAGAAACAATTCCCACATAATGGTAAGACATTAGCTAGATGAAGACACCACTGTCACTAATGTCTTAGCATTATGTGGGCAGTGTTTCCGATTGACACCCACACATTCTGAAATGTCCATATTGGAGTTTTCAGTGTGAATGCCAAGCAGTACAACATACTGTTTCCAAATTTCTGGTGCAGTGAATTGTGTCATAGTGCTCTTTTAATCACTGACAGTGCCCAACTGACCCTATTATACCGTGCTGTTGACAAAATCAAAAACAATGTGCATGCACTAAATTAAAAATATAAAATGGTGACAATTTACCCATCACACCCTGTATGTGTCTGTCTTTAATTCTGAGATGTGTTATTGTAACTATTTACACTATTTATATTACTTGGACTTTTGTCCTCATCTTTATTGTCGTATTCACAACGTTTTGGCTGTTGTACGCTCCAGCCTTCTTCAGGTGATATACGTTGGAATTTCAAACTTAACCCTTTATTCAGTCCACTGGGGTAGATTGTTCTTGTTCCACTTGCCTAGCCTTTTCTGAATATCGCAGTTTCAGTGTTTATGGCCACACCATGTTGAAACACTGGTTCTCGTATGATCACCGAAGTTAAGCAACATTGAGCCTGGTCAATACCTAGATGGGTGACTGCTTGAGAATAACAGATGCTGTATGCTTGGATGTGTGGGTGATGTAATGGATAATGTCTTCGAACTGTTAATCAGAGAGCCAATTTTCAATTTCAGCTGGGTTTGTTATACTTACTAACACACCACTAATATTGGGAAAAGTATTAATCTACTTCTCTCCCTCTTCAGCTATGGGTTAATTAGTAAGACTTGTATCACTAGAACCATTATTATTGCAAGAAAAAATATTTAGATTTTGGCATTAAATAACTCATAGAGGTTGATAAACCACTAAACAACAACAACAACAACAAAAAAAATCAGTTTCTGTTATTTCCCTTTAGTAACTCAATTCTTCAAGCTTCATAACTCTTTGGGTCAAGTCACTGGATTACTTCAACTAATGCTTTTATCTACTAGGCCATGTGACCTTAGGAACATCAGTGAATAAATCTTTGGGACTTATAAACCAATGTCTCAGAAATTCCAATGTATATCACCTGAAGAAGGCTGGAGTGTACAACAGCCGAAACGTTGTGAATATGACAATAAAGATGAGGACAACAGTCCAAACAATGTAAATAGTGTAAATATATGACTTTCATTGGCAAAAATATTTCATATTATACTAGATTTGATATGAGAGTGAAATATTTCATATGTCCAGAAAAATTCCTTTGGAGTAAATGGTTTTATTAGTCATAAATTTATTTTTTAATTCCCATTATACTTTAAAAGATAACTTGGAGTATTTATAGTGCCATAACGGTTAGCTATAAGAAAAACTTTTTTAAACTAAAGCCTTAAAAAAATCTTATTGATGAATGAAAATATTGATTTGAAATATTTAAATTAATTTTATACTCTAATTTTAAATGTTATTTTAAAAATTGCCATTGTCATTTTGAATCTCTTTGTTATTGTACTGATAGAGAGCCAGGTATTTATTTTGTGTTAAATTGTCCGTTTCCTGCAGGCATGAAGTTTCTGCTAGTGACTATGAAGTTCTTAAAAAGAAACTCCTGGAAAAGTTTGTGGCATTTTCTGAGGGCCCTAAAATGGTATTTACAAGGTTGTCTGTAGCAGTAAGTATCATCTAATGTATTTAATATTTACATATGAAGTGTTCATAAATGTTGTTTCTTTTCTATTTACCTTGTCATTTTTGTTGACAGTTTTAACAAATTTTGTTTACTCTTATTTCTTTTTGTTTATTTGTGACACTGTAATGGTCAAGAGATAGCCTGATAAACATACCAAGAGGAGAGGCAAGATTTTATTAAATTCAGAGAGTTTTGTTTTTCTTCCTTGGATAGAGACCAAAGGAGGGACAGAAACATCTGATTTGTCCTACAAAAACCAAAGTTGACAACTGACTATGAAGTGGACCTGGTAAACATGTTGACCAAAAAATAAAGATATGTGGTCCTCCGATGACCAAGTCAGGGAGCTGGCTAGGAGTAAAATGGCTTTATTATTATTTTGGGGACTCTAAGGTGTTCTGGAAACTAGGCCAGAGTTAGAGAATTGTTCTGTTATTTATCACTTGTCAAAAAAGAAGAGGGGAAGGTGTGAAATTTTTTTAGGTAAGAGCTGAAATGCCACAAGAAGAGGCTGTCAGGGGAACAACTGATGAATGCCCGATTGAAAAAGTGGAAAGGGTTAAGGAATTCCGTTGATGAAAATTTTGAGCGATAATCAATGATTATAAGTAAACCCCACCTATTGCCTTTACAGTCTAAAAATCTAGTTTGTCAAAATGTCAACTGAAGTGAAGGGCTCAGGTGAAATATCAAGTGGACAGAGGAATTGCCTAGGCCCCTTTAGTAGTATTGGTATGAGTTACCAATATGAGAAGGAGGGAGTTAAAGTGGATCGATATTCTGCTACCACTACTCTTAGGAGGAGGTACATCCCTAAAATTGGGCATGAAATTAATTTTCCAGAGTCAGACAACAAAGGACTCTTTGTAAGGATTAGGGGATTTATCAAAACCACAGGCCCCATCAGACTCTAAGCTGGTTTTGAATGGAGCTCCATATGAACATAAAGTGGAAGTGATCAATGACAGTTATTTGAAATGCCAGATGAGAGATGACTGCTTCACCCGATCTCATGTGATTTCCTGTCTGAAGAAGACATCTGATTTTGAGCTGTATTCCAGAAGCTTTGTCTAGTCTTAGTCATGATGAACAAAGTGTCACAAAATATTTGAAATATAAATAAAAGTCAGTAACTTTGCATGACGAATATATTTCCACATGAGGAAGAAATGATAACTGTACTACCAGTTCTGTAGAAGAAACGTTATAGAAAATATTTTCTTTTATACAATTTTTATTTGTGACTTCACTCTGTCCAGACCAAACCAATTCAATGATTCCTGTTGACAATTTGATCCTCGCCAGCATTGTGATCCAAATCAAACACAATGTGGTGAAAAGCAAGGCTTGGATCAAAGTGATCCATTCAGCAGTCAGCTGCGAGGATCAAGCATCAAACAGACTGACAGGGTGGATGTCACAATTTAACTAACCTGGTTTACTCTTTGATTTTTAAAAAGCATACTGTATTTATATTGATTATTATATTATTGGTGCTGCACATTGACATAGTCACTGGAAATTCTGTTCTTGGTCCTCACAAGACTTCTCACAATTTGAGAGCTTTTTGTCAAAATCCTCACTGAATAAAGATTGGCAGTTTTCTGGATCTCTACAATCTTGGTCTCAATTCCAATTTTCCCAAAACACTCATTCAATTTCCTAGCACACACATTACTACAGGAATTACTTATCATATCCCATAGCTTCTTCAGCTCTCTAACTAAATCCTAGTATTTTTTTCAGTCTTTTCATTTTCTTTGAAATTCACTCTTGTATCATTTGAAAGAACAAAGTCATAATTTGACATTACTTTTTTTATCTGTCACAATAATTGATAATTATTATTTTTATTTTTTAAGTTGGCCTCAGCAATTCTTCAAACTTTACCTGAAATGTGGCCCCAGTCAATAGCCAATCTCATTGAAACATTCAACCCAACAAATTTTCCAAATGTCAGTGTAAGTATACAAGTTGAAACTTTAATCTTACTAACAGAAATAAAAAAAATAAATAAAAACTGTATAATAAGATAAAATCTAAGTAGGCTTTATATTATTTGAGTTA